ATTTCAAGATCTAATTTCTTAAAACCATCGATCCATTATTCAAAAAATGCCTTGTTTATAGTAAATTCCGCTTGTGAATAGGTCAAAGGCATTGGGGTTTATAAGTTACCCGGAATTTTGGAGACAAGCGTATGCAAATTTCTTGATCTAGATTTTGAGTGCATGTGTCATTGTTTGTAGACCCAAATTGGATCCGACAAATCCATATTAAATGAGTATTTATTCCACGGGACCTTCCTGCAGTTCTCGCCTCATTTCTTTTCTCGTTCCGTTCGCTTCAGTTGGCTTTTATTATTCCTTCGTTTTTCCTATTTTGTTTTTTGCCCTGGGGGGTCGTCATCCATTGTTGTTGCTGCGTTCGAGTGGCTCGATTTGTTTTCAAATTGAAATGGTAAAAAGATTGATGTAATTATTGCCACCCTTAAATGATGATGGGCAGCGACAAATTCGATAAGTTCTCCTCGCATTTCACATTCTGTGGCATTTTGTTGTATTTTTGTATGTTTGTTTTATAAGAATTATGTAGGTTTCCCCAGCGTTCCTTGTTATTCTGCTCTCCACACTTCACATTTGTATCGGTCTGTTCTCCACATCTACACAGAGCAAAATAATGAGCTTTAAATATAATATTTAAAATAAAATGTTGGCAATGAAAAAAATGCCTGCTTAAAGTGAGATCCAAAATCTTTTCTGGCAAACTAAGAGATAATATTCTTTGGCTTTGCTGATTAGGAGTTTATTATTTCGAAAACCTCTCAAAAATTAGAATAATAAATATTTTTTCCTGTGCAACCCCCTGCCCCCTTTTCGCTTTGCGTGTACACAATTCGAGTTTATTTCCATTTGTGTCCCCCACTCGTTTCTCTTCCTTCCCTTTTTACACCGCTGTTGCTCGCCTTTTTATCTTTTGTAAAACGAGTTCTTTAAACCTAAAACAGAATTCAAGACACGTCAAATTGATTTTCATCTATTTTATTTACAAAAAAAAAAAAAAAAAAAAAAGGGAAACAGCCGAGAAGGAAAAAAGTAAAGCGAATTACACGGAAGCAGCGGGAGAAATGTCAAGCAGTCTGTGTTTGTGCTTGTATGTGTCATACCTTCCCGAATTTCCATCCCCCTCTTCATTGTATGTTTTATGTTTTGTGCCTAGTTTGCATAACTCCCAAGTACAAACAAAAAATGCGGTGCGACCCCCTATTTTACAGCCCCCCCTCCCCCACAATTCGTGGAATCAATCAGCGTGATAAAGGAGGCAAGAGACAGGGAAAATAGCGAAAGGTTATATCTTGTTATCTTTGTGAAAACTAAAAGATTATTGGGATTAGCCTTGTCGCATATGTGAGCTCTTCTCCTCCGGGATGTTGCTGTTTCATTTCAACTTTTTTTTTTTTTTTTTTGTGGCTCCTTTCCCTGATGCTCCTTCTACTTTCATTCTGCTGGTGTTCTCGTTAAACGTTATCGCCTTTGAGCTGGTGTACAGTGAATATTGCTTAAGGAGCGCCTTAGAAAATTGCAATTACGTTTTAAGGCTTAAGAAAAAATTGGTTTTTAATGAGAAGATGTCTAGATCTTATGATATTATTCTTATATCAAAAGTTTAAAGAAGTTTGGACACTAAAGATTGATTTTAAAGGGTTTCATTTGTACGGTTACAAATATACTGATATTTATTTGTTAATAATATAAAGAGCTTCAAAATACAGTAAAAAACTCACTTCATTTTGAGTGAAATCGCTTAGGCAGTGTTCACTGTTCTTCATTTGTTCTCGGTACACCCGTTACTGTTGTTGGTTTTATAGCTATTCCTCGGCTTCTTGTTGCGCTTCTTGATGTTTCTGCTTTTTTTTTTTTATTTTTTTACTGGCTTGAGTGCGAACGAAAGATTTTGGTGGCAACTCCCATAGCAACTTGTTGTTGGCCTTTGTCTGCAAACATTACACATACACTACACCTCTGCCTGTGTGTGTGTGTGTGTGTGTGTTTGTATCTGTGTGAGTGTGCGGCATATGTGTGTATCCATTGCGAGGAGTTGGTGTTTTTGTTCTCATCTTTCAGCTGTTCAAAGATTGTTAAATATCAAAGGCGAACCTCGACGGGAAACTCTGTTTTCCTTGTTTTCTATTGAAGATAAAGCTGAATTTGTTTACTTATCCGTCTGGCGGTTGGAGCAACACATCCACATCTCTTGAGGATGAGGACGAGAACGAGGATGTCGATGTGGATTTGGATTTGGGTTTGGTTTTTTTTGGAATTTGGCGTGGGTGCTTTTGTTGGTGTGACAAAAAATTAAAAACAGTTGGGGTTGTAAGGTTACAATGGCAGGAGTCCTTTAATTATTTTCTTTGGGCGTAGCTACTCCCCGTGGGGGTATTTTGGTTATGCTCTGGATTCTTTGGAGCAACTCGAGTCGATCAGTTTTTAATCTTAAATATATTTGTTCATACATATTTCCACGATACAATTTACAATGAAATCGAGTATAGCCAGCAAATTTTGGAGCCAAACAGTAAAGAGCTAGAAATGTGACACTTGCATTTAAAAGATGTGTAAAATGGAGCTTTATTGCTTTCCATTCCCATGCTCGACCAGTTTCACCATATGGTTGACCATACTGTTTTTCTTGGTCCCTGCAGGCTCAGATTCCCTTTGCCATTTTCTTATCGTCATACAGGCATCATCATTCATCCGATGAAACCTCAACTTTTCCCCAAGGGTTCTGCAAAACGACCGCCTTATCAGCGACACGCCCACATGTGGCAAGCACATTTCAATTGCGCTTGGCAATGATCTGGTTGAAATGTAATTAATTCCTGAACGGGATTTCCCACCCTAATCAAAAGGTTCCAGTGAGTACATATTTCTTGCCATTTCTTCATTTAAGAAAGTGTGTGTTTGTGTGTAGAAAAAGAAACAAAACCGGGGTAAAAAAAAATACTGTGTTCAAATGGGAAAAAGGCAGGTGTGTGGCAAGTAAACTCATCTTAGGACTCCCTCTTTTCATCCTCTATCTTACCTATTTAGGTTCTTTTACTTTTCTCTAAACAACAAACACTATTTAGCGCTTCAACTTTTTATTGTGTCGCACTTCCCCTAACTCGAATCTGAGGTAACTTAAACATAATTGAGTGGCATTAGAGTTTGGCGACCAAACTTCACACAATTTCATCCCCATAATACAAACTTTGAACTTTCCTGACTGGAATTTCTTTATAACTTTCGGGGCTTTTCATTTTCTTATTAGAGGACGAAAACTTGCCGTAGGTTAATATTTAATAGAAATTAATTGGTTTCTAGCTAAATATCAAATTAAACTAGCCACCTAAAGATTATAAAAAGGCAAGTTTATATGTATAATGACTCTAGCAGATGGTCCACCGACTTAGAGAAGTTCTTTAATGTATCCTTAATATACATTTTTCATAGGTTCTATAATTATTTAGAGTACGACAAGTGGCCTTGGATGTTACAGATAAAAAATCTATTTTATATTTATTATTTTGTTTTGAGGAATATATTTCCACTACTTGGGTTCATTGAATTGCATAAGTACATTGATATTTTGGTGGTTAATACTTGGTTAATAATTGCATTGGTATTTAAAAACGAAGTAGGGGTTAATTTTGAAATACCAAAGAACTTATGCAATTCCATTAACCATAATAAATGAAATATATTCATTAGAAAGAATTGAAAAATATGAATTGTGGATTTATTTTTAATTTGTAAGCTTGCATGCTTATGTTTTTTTTTTTTTTTTATGCAGATGTAGTGGCAGATGGTTCATCGCATTACAGAAGTTCACTGGCATTTAGTAATGAACCTTTAATAGCACGCCAAAAGGACGCTGAGCGCATAGCCCACACATAAATCGAAGTGCTATAGGGTCGGCTGAAGGGGGCGGGGGGAGGGGGTTGAAGCGCTATTCCATCGAGAGGCGGAGTTGGGGAGGATTACGAGTACACAGGGCGCCCCTATGCGAGCAGACGGATGAAGAAGGGTCGTCGGTGGCACGGTGGAGAGAGGACGAAAAAGAGGACGAAAAAGAGGACGAGAAAGAGGACGAGGAAGAGGGAGAGGAGGGGCGTCCAAACAGACGTTGCAGGTTTTCGTTTCCAAGTTTCAGCAGGAAGAGAGATACAAACAAAGCCGGTCAGCCGGCACACAGATACAGACCGACACAGCAAAGAGTTTATGCTGCTCTTTCCGTCGCTTTAAAGAGCACAAACTCTCGGCGAAAAATGGGGGGAGGGAAAAAAAAGGAATATTTGAACTAGAGTGAAAAGCGAAAATCCCAACTCTACGCACTTTTTACCCTCCAATACACCGATACCGAAGGGACTACCGAAGATGTTGACCCTGTGCGGGTACTGAACTTGCTCCAAAACTTGCCACCGACCTCTTATCCCATAAACAAAAGACGAGGGGCCAACGATCCGAGTTGCCTGAATGTTCTCGATATGTTGGCAAACTCAAAAAGGGTAAGTGACCTGATTTGTGGACATTTTAATGCTTTTTGTTGTGACAGGTAACAAATACATACATACATACATACATATGTATATCCCCACTGGAATTAAGAGTCAAATGCAAAAATGCTTAACTAAACAGAAATCGATAGCAAAAACTAAATAAAATTCAAACTAAATTTAGCTCACGAATTAAATTAAAAACCCCTTTTTGATCAACAATATCAAATATTTAAATGTATTCAATAAGCTATTTATTGTAATTAGGACTTTGTTATAAACGATGAAAAATGTAGTCAAAACGCATGATTTTTGCCCTCTCAAAGTGTTTGATAGCTTATTCCTACATTTATCAACTTCTTGATCTTAAACAAGTAATCTAAAATTAATTCATTTAGAGCATATATCTGACTTAATGATAATTATGATATTTGAATCAGTGGGATGTTACTCTTGAAGCACCAATCAAAACAAATCTTTGCCACCCCTTCAACTTTGCTTGCAACCCCTTTTAATGTGTAGATTTTTTTTTTGTTGGTGTTTGACAACTCGTGGGATAATTTATTTACAGCTTACCGAAATATAACATTACATAACATATAACATACATAGATATTCTGGGGGGCAGGACTTAAAAATACAAATCGGAATCGGCTTCCTTGGGATCTGCATCCTCGAAGCGGCCCATATCCGCTCTATACAGGATGCGATTAATCTGGAACTGGACTGTGTTCTTGGTGCGGGCGGAGTATTTGCTCAGTTTGTTGCCAAGGTATTGAAGGTAGAAGGCATCCTCGCCGGCAAGAGGACAATCCGCTGAGGAAGGTGCCCGAACCAAGGGAGTTGAGGCGGAGGCGGCAGGGGAAGCAGTTGGCGCCCGAGCAGGGACCACAGAAGTTGAACTGGAGGCTACATTGGGGGCGGGATGGGTGGTCGCCGGCTTTAAGGAAATCGATGGCTTAGCCATGGATACTTCAACTGTCTCCAGTTCGATGTCCCTAGAATCAACCGATTGATCATCCTCGTCGTCTGGCAGCTCCGACTTGAAGATGCCATCAAATTGACTGCCAGAAACGTTGTCCTCGTTATCGCCGTCGCCCGCCTCCTCATCATCCATAAGGTCGGTGTTTTCGATGGTGCTGTTGGTGGGCAAATGAGAGGCGTCCTGAAAGAAATAAAAACAGTGAGAATTTGGTTTCTAGTTTTTAGAATACGATTCTTAGAATGGTTGTCCTAGAAATGTCCATTTACAAACTGAGCATCCTGGAAACATCTTATTTGCAATTCTAATGTAGGCTATCGATTTTTTCATTTAATAAAGCATAAGAATGCAATGACAACCAGTTACTTCAAGAGTTTAAAAGATACAAATGATGTTACTACATCTCGAATTGAAGTGGATATCAATTTCTTGTATATACCTTACTGAGGCGAATTTTCTTAAGTTCCGATGGGAAAAAATCACTCAATTCCATAGTGGGGGACTGTTTGTTTGCCTGTTGCTGGCAGAGGAGCTTCCGAATGGCACGTTTCTCGGCGACGACGGTCTCGTAGACATCCTCATGTTTACGTTTGAGGTGCCTCATCAGATTCTCGGAGTGACGACCGGCCATGTCGAAGCGGCACTCCTTGCAGGTGCTCTTACGCGTCTGCTCGCTATAGATAAAGTGCTTGGACACCGGGTTTGGGTGCCTTTTCGACATCGTTCCGATTTGATGTTTATTTACGGCTTAAACTGTTTAAAAACTGTTTTTTTTTTTTAATTTACTTTCGGTTTCTGCGATGCGCTGCGCCGTACTTGAGTAACGTTCGTTTACTAAATCCAATTTGCGTGCTCAGACCGCAAAAATATCAACGGAATAAAAAAACGGCTTTCTGTGAACCAGTGAGAAGGAGAGCGGTTCAGAGAGGAGCGGTTCAGAGAGCGGAACACGAGCGCAAAAACCACCACTCAAAGCGGTTTCACAGGCACACCCACACACCCTCACACACACACAGAAGCGTTTTGAACCAGTTTGAAACGGTTTCGGTCTGTTTTTCGGTTTCGGTTTTTGCCGGCGGCACTATTGCTATTGTTATGTTTGTTACGTTTCGGCTGTGGTTCAACAGCTGAGGGTCATTCGTTGTTATTACGATTATGCGTCGTAATATCATGATCCACGATTGACATCTGAATAATGTTATTTAGTATTTTTTACCTACAAAGTAGTCAAGTTCGAATTGCGTCATCATAGACTAGCCCAAACTATAAGACTACAATTTTAAAAATCTTTTGTTTTCATGAGAGTTTTATTCATGTTATGATTTTTACTATTATAAGTTCCAAAGTACTCCTGGCACTGTCTAAAAATCGTTAAATATTATACTAAATGCTGATTTGTTTAAACTCACATTTGTACTTTATATTGTGAATAGCTTAATATTTATATTTGCGATAAGGTGCGCATAAGCAAATAATGGAATAGCCAGTCTGATGGTTCTGGATATAGAAACAATCCAAAACGATAGTATGTAAATGCAGCTGATTGCGCACAATCCACTGTAATTGGAATAAACGTTGCTCTAAATTAGTTTAATTTAATTATGGTATTCCGTGTGTTGGCTGTACGCTGCTCATCTGGATGGAGTGAAATGTAATATTCAAAGTATGCCTGCCTCATTTCTAGTTTTAGCCCCACCCTCCTCCCCCCACCATTTGGGTTTCGTTATCGTTTTCGTTTCGATTAGTGAGGTTTCGGTTAGTGCTAATAAACCGTGAAATATATACATATGTATGTACATACATATACACTACACTACTTACCGGATTGTTCAGTCGCTGGCGATTGGGAATGAGCTTGTCCTCGGCGATGACCCAACGTTTGGGCGCCAGCTGGACGATGATGTGTGGGTGGTAAATACTATAGTGGCGCCTTACATTTCCCGGCCGATGGGTTAACACCTTTTCGCAGAGCTTGCAGCGGCATCGTTTTCCGTCGCCCAAAATCTCACACAATTTGCCGGTGTCCACCAGCTGGGGACGACCCGTTTTCGTATCTGCAAGTGGGGATTAATCCGGTTAATCGTTGTTTGTTTAGAAAATAAAAATTTTTTTTTTTTTTTAGAACATAAAAGACTTTAAAGTCGGGCAGTAAACTACTACTAACCATTTATTTCTTCTTCGATTTAACGATAGGATTGACTGAATTAATAGACAATTAAACTAGAAACAGAGGTAGATCAAGTCATGGGCCTGAAAGGGTAATTCTGAATAATGAATAGTAAGTGGTACCCCACATTTATGTATTTAAATTAAATATTTTCTGTACTCATCGCCACTCTGGGGTTAATAAGCGGCATGTGTGAAAAGGCAAACGATGAAAACGGGGCTGCAAACAAAACGAACAAATCGAAAAAAAAACACAAACACAAACAGCAAGAAACTGAAAAACACATGCGAAAAGTAATTTTCAACTGCATCGTGATAGGAGAAAGAGAGGGGTGCAGAGTGAAAGAAAGAGAGGGGGCGGGTGCGTGTTCGAGGAGCGCAGCTAAATGTTTCGCAGCTGCCGGAGATGCAATATTTTACCCTTGTTATTTGCGCTTTGAGTGGCATTCTGGTGGTTATTACTACTGTTTTAGCTACAGTCAGGCATCAGTCAAAGCAATTAAAAATTAAATATATCGCTTTGCTCAGAATCGATTGCCGCTTGGGTCACTAAAACTGTAAAGTTTCACAACATAAAAGTTTACAAAACTGTAAATAAGGTTTTTTTTAAGAAACACTATACGTTTTCAAATTTTAAATCTATTATTTTAGGTTTTGTCTTTTTAGATTGAATATTTATATTGATAAACAAACTATCTTAAGACTGTGTTTAATTTAAATGTTAATTTAACTGTTGAAAATATATGATAGGCTGTTAATGCACATATTAAATTTTCGTTTAAAAAGTTCCATGTTCGAAGTCCACAGCTCCAAAGGTTTCTTTTTGTTTTGTATTCTTGTTTAGTTAATAATTTTTTTAAAATAACAGCAGTATCTTCAAAATAAAAATATTTAAAAATGTATTTATATATGTATGTATATACACATGTGTAAAATTGTATAGTAATTAACAATCTAGAATGGCTGAGCCGATTTGGATCAACCATTATTTCAGTATGAAGAAGGTATTTTCTAGGGGCACTTACTTGGGTTGCGGGTGGATTGCCTCGAAGGCTTTGGCTGGCCTTGTGGGCGTGGCGGGCGCTGGAGAACGATGTCCGGATGGAGGCGCTCGTAGTGCCGCTTGATGTTGCTCCTCTGCAATCCGGCCAAGATCTTGTCGCAGACGACACAGCGACAGGTCCTATTTGGGAGCAGGACCACCAGGTTGGACGTGTCCACGAGTCGCGGCCTGCCCATAGGTATTTCAACTGAATAAAACACACACAGTGCACTTTTTGACAGGTTGTTTTTTCGCCGTCGACGCGAATAGAATGAGCACTACGATTCAAGCTGAATCAAATATAACGAACGTGTGAAACTATTTTCTTCTTTTTAATGTTTGTTTTTAAGCTCTCACGTCTGCTCACATGCAATGGACAATGGCCTGCGCCACTCTCTTTGCTCTCTTCAAAGAGTTTCGAACGCGGGTGTGTAAAAAGTTTATTCACTTCAGTGTGCAAACAAGTTATTCTCTTTATGTTGCACATTGATTATTACATTGATACATTAATTATTTAATAAATGCATTGGACTGATTGTAAATATTTTTCTAGATTAAATGAATACTATTCGTGTTATATAATCTTAGATCCATGAGCTAAAAATAATATTACTGAAGTATGTTTAAAATCCTGGTTTTTACCACATATGAACGATATTAAGAACCGCTTTAAAGCCAGACGAGAAAATACACATTTAAAAATAAAAAATATCCAATGTCTTCACAGATGTAACTTTGCTGTTGCTGATTTGCATATTGCTGGGGCTTCAAGTATTATTATTTATATTATTTATCCCCTTCAGCCGCATAGCACCATGCATGACAAAAGAAATGTGTATGGATAAAATTTCTCTCTGTACTTAACAAATACCAGCTTTATAGGGTTAACGTGCGACGGTCTTTTTGTGTGCGTGTTTTGTGTGCTAAAGTTTTATTTGCTTTTCTGGTGTAGTCAACGCTTTGGAATGAAGGAGGGTTATTTTATGTGGCCTCTGGGATTGCCTCAATATTCTTTGCCTCATTTTCGTTCACACATGGGTAACTGTTTCGCTATTTTTTACCACTTAAGGGCTACTACAGTTCATGTTTTATTAAAAAGAAACTGCATTTATTTGATGTATGTGCAGGTTTTTTGCATTGACTTTGTTCACTAGTTATAAAATATAAATTGATTGTTCGCTGTTATTTAACATTTTTTTTTTTCAATTGTTGATATAATTATACGATTTATTTGAAGAAGGTTTTGTTTTGTTACTTTAAATATTTGTCATATTTTGTTGGGTGTCCGGTCAAACCCGTTAGCAAGTTGTAAAATATTAATAAACCGATTGCTGATTTTTAAACTTGTTTAATAGTTTTATTGTTACTTATCAAATGAAATTGAATAGTTTCTTTCAGATATTCATTGCAAAATTTGTCAGCAACAAACTGGAGAACATCACCGTTTTTATAGTTTTCAAAATTCTTACGATCTGGCAGCACTAGCGATGGCCACCACATTGAGCTTCTTGGGTCGCCGAAGGATCATCGACTCTTGCCGACGTCTGCTGAGTACGGATTTGGTTACAGCCCTCCGTCCGTTCTACCAGGCCATCCAGACGGATCGCCTGTCCGGCAATCCGGCGGAGAAGCGGGTCAACGAGGAATCACTGCGTATGCTTAGCTCCCATCTGGAATCCCTGACCGGAACATCTGGAAGTTGTCTTCCCCCCGATGGTCAGCTGCAGTTCTACATGTCCTCGGCTCCGGACTCGGGTTCGGTTACGGATGAGACCGGAGGTCAGGTGGCGGCCAGTCGTCTGGTGAGAGTGCAGGTGGACCGGAGTCTGCTGGATCCCAGAGCCGTAATCCGGAACATTCTGCGGTCCTGCAAGCTACTGCCAAAGGAGCAGGAACGGGATCTGGAACAGGTACAGGTACAGGTACAGTAAACAACCAATAAAGATCGCTGAGTAGGTTGACTGATAATCATGGTTGGGTACTTAAAAAAACAATTGTACATTCAATCTAAACCGAAAACTTCATAATTCTTAAGTTCAAACTATAAAGTACATTAAAAGTTTATAAATGTATGTAAATGTTTTTTCACATGTTTTTAAAGGGAATCTATTAAAATTAACTATTTGTTTAGTTTAGTTTGAAATCTTTCTGGATGAAACACTACCAAAAGTCTTATTTCTATTGCTGATTGCTGGTGTTATATAAGGAAAAGGCTTACCATATAGCTCAGACAATCAGACAAAATTTATAAAATCATAATCATAAAAAAATACAACAGTATTTAAACTTTTACGAATAAACTTGGAGATGTAGTCAGGGCTGTCTATTTTAGAATTACGGTTCAAGTTATATTAAAATCAGACAACAATATCGGATTTATCGTAAAATTGATTGATTAATAAGCATAAATTTCAAAAACAATTAATTTAAAAAATTTGTTTCTTTTTTTTTGTATAAAAAATTGCCCATGCTGATCACAAAAAGCAATAGATTTGTAATAGATAAGGCCAAAGTGAGATTGAAAACTATTATTTCCTATAAATAATATGTATAATATATTAATAATTCAATGCCTTTTCCGTTTTAGGGACAGGAGATGGTAAGAGAGCTAGAGAAAGTGCTGAGGAGAAACAAATTGAAACCGGCCAGGGAAAAGATACGACCGCCGCAGGCGCCACTCCAAAAGCAAAACACTCGTAATGCCCTGAAGGAATGGTTTGTGGATGCCGGAAAGGAGCACCCGCTGGACACTTGGATGCGACAGGCGTTGGCCCGTTCGCAGGCCTCGGAAGTGACCAGCCTGCGCTCCAAGATCGAGGATCTGGAGGGCTCTTTGGTCCAATTGCTGGGCATTCGAGGATCGCGCTACGATTGCGGTTGCAACATGGAGCGCTATCACGATTGCCTCCGGAGTCTTAAGGAGCTGGCCGCTCAGGATGGGCAACAGGGTGTGACCAGCAATCAGCTGCTGGGAGCTCTGCGCAATCGATTCGTGGCCTTTGCCCCGTACACGGGCATTAGTTTGGAGGGCGATGTGATGCTCTTCTCCGGCGATTCACCAGCCGGCTGGCTGGCTTTCCTAGCCGAGATGCGTCTGCACGAGGAGCAATTGAAGCTGGTGCCGCTGTACGAGAAGGCCTTGTCCGCCGTACTTCTTGGCATCCGGATCGAGAGGCGCAAGTTGCCGGAGCCAGGCTGTGAGGCTCGTGCATATGCCGGCAGTCTCAAGCGGGTGATACGAGCGGTCAGTGAGCATTTGAAGCTGGAGGAGAATGTCCAGGAGCTGCCGGCCACGCTGCAGGATCATCAGCTGGCCGTTGTGCCGGACAGTGATGCGCCCAAGGTCAGCCAAACGGGTCTCTTCTTGGCCCCCGCCTCGTGTTCGGGCCCCGATCTGATCGAATTCATTTGCCGCAACCTGGAGTTGGCCAGTGGCCGCTGCAGTCGCTATCGCCGGGACATCCAGGTGGAGCGGCAGTTGTGGCGGCACTGCCAGCAGGAACTGGGCCTGCAGCGACTCAGCAAGGACGACTCGGTGACGCCCGACAAAATGGTCCTGGCCCTGCGCCATTTACTCCAAAGCGGCGTCCAATCCTGCCGAGGTCTCAGTCTGCACATCACCAACTATTGGTCGGTGCCCATCGATGGCATCGTCTGCATTCCCTGGGACTTTATGCTCCGGGAGCAGCAATAGGACATATAGGTGTGCCACCTCTGAATTCTTAAATTAATCGATATGTTTGGGTTTCTTATGAAAATAATTCGTTATCCTGGATTATGGCTTTTTACTTTAGATATTTTTTGTTTTAGGGAAATCTAAGGTTTTGAATTTTGTACCTCGATGAACTGCTAGAGCTAAATTAAATTTATTTAGTATTATTAACTAAACATAATATGTATTTTTAAAAGTATTCTCTTTTAAGTTACATTTTGTATAGTTGCAATGTCGTTTGATTATTCATTAATGGCTAATATTCTTGTTGTGTACAGTTTTTAAACCATTAGTATTATTGGGTACTCGTCTTAAGTTTATTTATTATTTATTTGTTTGTTTTGATACTTTCTACTTGATTGATTCTTAATTTTTGCTTTCTAATCTTTTTGTAAGGTGTTTTCGTCATCGTAGTCATTGTTTCTACCTTTTAGTTTGATATATTGTTACATTCAGCTACCCAGATGAATTTCCGTTTTTGGTTCATTACATCTCTTGGACCTTTTGGGTGAGCTGAATGCAGAAATGGGAGGGCATTCTAATCCAAAAACGGGGCCATCGTTGAGCCCAAGCAAACCAAACCAAACCAAACCAAACCAAAGTTCGCAACTCTTGCCTGGATGACTGGGATTTTCCTGTTCTTTCCGTATGCCATTCCCTTCTGGGGTTGAACGTGTCCTTATACGACTTCTGTTGACACTACCCATCCCCAACCATCGCATCCCTGCAGAGAGAAAAATGCACAGAAAATTATTGTATAAAAATGGCTCTAACTGAAGAATTTTCAATAAAACAAATACCTTGTGAAAAAATTAATATTGTACATTTAAGCAATGCTTCTTGTTTTTATTGAAATACAAAAAAAACCACAAAATATAGGTACCATTTTTAAGATAACGACTGATTACTAGGGTTTTTAAATGACTTGTAAAGACGCTGAAAAGTATGCAATGAAATATAGAATAAATCCATTGTGCTTACGGAATAAATAATGATAAAAAAAATATATAATAAAAAAGTAAAAAAAATCACTAAAATATATATATATGCAATGAAATATAGAATAAATTCATTGGACTTTCGGAATAAATTATAATATTAAAATAAATAAAAAAAAACATAATAAAATAAAATAATAATAAAAATCACTTAAATATATCAGAATCGCCTTGAATACCAGTCTCTTATCATAGTTATCATAGTCATACCAATTTGTTCCTCTGCATGGCGACCCTTTGAGCTATGTTTTCCTTTGCAACCCCGTGAAGGTGCGGATGGTGTGGGTTTTTTGGGGAGGTGGAAGCCCCTGGACCCATCACCCTGCACCCTCCACCCTCCGACATCCTCATGTAGTGCGAAATTCTCCATAAGATTTAGCTAATGTTCCATGGCTTCGCTCCATCAATGTCGAGTGATGCATGGGCATGGGCAGGGGGATGGTTTGTTTGGCTCGTGTTGGTTCGGCTTGGTTTGGAATTGGTATTGGTATATGGTGTATAGTGTATAGTGTATAGTGGATGGTGTATGGTGAACCCGGAACTCCAAACCAAAAGCCGACGAAGTTTGTCTGGTGTCGTTTATCCTCCTCGTGTGTCTCCCTCCATTTCCTGCTTTTACGTTTTCCAGACGTTGTCAACCACCTCCCACCACCCACCTCGCAACACCCACATATTCCACCCACATCTTCCACCCATATCTTCCACCCATATCTTCCACCCACATCTTCCACCACCACCACCACACGTGTCCGTTGAGTGGCCACTGGGTGAGGAATTTTACTCCGTTTCAATTTGCTACCAAGTATCAGCAATAACTTTCAAAATATCAAAATACTTTGATGAAAGCACATTCTTTGAATATTAAGCATTTTGAAGTCCCAAAGTAGTGACCAAAATATGACAAATATATCTTGTCGTTGATTTAAATTCCATCCTTTAAACTAAATCGAAGCAATCTGAAATATTTGGATTATATATTTTTGAATTTCCATTACAAAGTAGGCCATGGACCGAACGAATCAAGCTGTCAAAGTCCAGTTGACTGGCTCCAGCCCATTTCAGCTCAGTTCCATTTCGTTCGCATCTAGAACAGACATACTGGGAGCAAATAAATACTTTTTTTTTTCAGTAAAAAATCATATAAATCAAAATCAAATCACTTCAAAAAGTTAGTTTTTTTTTCTTTAATATTTATTCGGTTTTATCCAATTGTCGTTTCAGTCAGCATGGCCATAGCTAAAGTAAATCTGTGGATTTCTCAAATTCGTGATATGGGACGCAGCCTGCTCTCAACAGATAAAGCCAAAAAGTTCCTTTCCGGTATTCAGGTAAGTTATATTGATAACTTTGCAATAACTCACGGGAAGAAAAGAAGCCTTAGGATTCGCGGCTGAAGTCACATTTAAATATATACCAATCGTTTTAATAGCAAATACTTAAATATATTGTTCTATTCTGTACTCCAAACAGACTGCCATCAAACCTTTACCGTCGTCGTCGTCGTCGTCGTTGTCTAAAAAGTGCCCATTTGAAACCAATGATGTCCCAATAACCAAGAGTGATATGGGCAATCCAGCTATTCCGAAAATCGACGGGGAAATGAGTACCGGACCCAAAAACGGATTTATAAGTCGAGTCCTCTACTACCGCAGATTTTACATGAAACGTTAATGGATATATGAATATTGCCGAATTCCAACTCAAAATTCTTAACGTAATATGAATTTTATAACCAAATACTTAGCTAAGATTTGTGTTAGGTACTTTCATATTATCAACAATATTTCTAAATTATTACCGATATCTTGAAAAGAGTTGATATTGTTAATAATCTTATATATTTTTTACTAATCGTTATTGGCGTTTTTATTTGAGGTGCAGTTCCTAATGCGGTTTAATTGGTTCGTTTAATTGCACGCACTTTGCATATTAAAGGGTTGAATAAACTGGTTTCAAATCGAAACAGGGGGTGTCTCTGTTCAAAATTGTTCACTTCATGTGAATTCAACCGAACTGCAAGTGCTAAATTTTCGATTTATCTTCTTTATCCAGAACAAGAGCATGAAAGAAGCACATTTGAGGGCACTTCTTGCTGTCCATAGAGATTTAAGGCATGTAAACCGGGGTAAGTTGGTTGAAATGGGGTTAAGGGATAGTCATACTCCCATGTGTGGCTGATTTGCACCATCATTAAAATCATCATCGTCAGCGTTTGTAATCTAATTTGCAGTCATCTCATCATCATCATCGTCATCGTCATCGTCATCATCAGTTGACCCCCATATTCGGTGCTGTCCAGCTTGTGAGTGTCCTTTTCAAAAGTTTTACGCCCGGCATTCAATTTCGAAGGGTGTGCATATTATATGACCCAAACTCAAACTCGAACCCGAACCCAAAATAAAAAAAACCCTAACTCAAGGCCATGACAATCTTGTCGAGTGTCACTCTGAATAGATTTCGCTTTGTGGGTTTATAACGCCAACAATAGAGGAGTCTAATGAAACGGGGTGTGTCCAAATTCGAGAGGGTGTTTGCATGAAAGTTTCCCAAAATTGGTCCTGGTTCGGTGGCGGAAATTGAAATAATAAAATAAAAAAAAAATATAGTTACTACAAGGCGTCATTTGAGCATTTCAGAGTTGTAAATACAATTGGCAAGTGAATTGTGGGCTTAATTTTACAATGCCTTTTTGATAGATATTAATATTAGCCTTAATTAACCTAAAACCCCTAAGAAAATCCTAACTATATATAAGTGTTAGTTATATTGCATACTTTTAGACATATTTTTAAGAGTTTTGTAAGACCAAGCAAAAATGTTTTGAAGCAAAGCCCCATAATCCTGTTTAATTTGCAACGTAACTCAAGTCCATCATTTGAATTCTCTCGTTCATTTGAATTTTTTTATTGTACAAAATTGAGTTAGTGTATAGTTTAAATTAGTAAAATATACTTAGTGTACTCTAAGGGAGGCTGCTGTTTGCTCGTTTTATCTTAAGGCTTAAGAACGATGGAGTGTGTGGGATGGTGTGGGGTGTGTTTGGTGTGTTGGGTGTGTAAGGTGCAAGGCATAGAGTGCGGAGTGAAGTTCAGTGTAGTGGAGTGTTGTGGAGTGGCGGTTGATCAACTCAACCCCAATTCGGGAATATATCATTCTTTGCAGTACTTTAATAGCTCCGTGTAGGTGCATCCCCCCGGCTTGCAGCACTGATCGGCGACATACTGCACATCTCGCTTCCTGCGTTTCCCAAAACTGTTGGCTATGGATTATACATAGAACACATATTGATAAGCAATCGCAGTTCTACAAAATCGAACCAAGTCGTTTTACTTACGAAAGCGATCGCCGTAAGACACCGTTCCAGATTCGCATATGCCCTGTATGAATTCACTGAGATTGGTGGAGCACATCACTCGTCTTTGTTCGTAGTCCACCGGTGCAAGTGGACTACTTGCCACCTGGGGCACCCAACTGCTGATCAGCACCAGCACGGCGATTAAGTTTGCCAGGACTAGCAGGATTCTGGACGTTGGCACTTCGGGAATCATCTGAAATAAACGCATATGGGGATGGTTAATACATTTGAAAAGTTTTGTAACTGCCAGAAAGCTAGATGTCCTGATGATCAAGGCTGGACTACCCTTTTTAACTTTAAGCGCTCTTTAAGACCATATGTAGAACCTAATCGAATCAAGACTTTGCCCCAAAACTTGTCTTATTTTTTGTCGATCCTGATCGAGTCTAGTTATCTGATTCCTACCTTTGCTAAACCACAAATGAATATCCTGCGACAATAGCTCTTCAAATGCAATACTCCCGTCGAAACTATTTTGGTGACTTGTAATAAGGACACATTTCTTCGAAATCGGACTGATAACTCCCCCATCTCTTCCGCCTTGCACACGCGTCTGGGGTCTTTTGCTTGTCTCAGCTCAACTCCCTTATCAGCTCTCAAATATTATTGTATTTTCCATTCGATTCTGTTATTGTTTGTGTCTGGGCTGCGGCGCTGAGCTGAGCTGAGCTGTGCTGGCCAGGAAATATATTTACATAAACTTCAGTGTTTAAAAATAACCCATCGGCTCCTCACTTATCATTTGGAACATGAGTTCTTTTTATACACAATCAGAAAGTCTGAGTGACTTGGGGAGTATAGTATAGTATAGTAGAGTAGAGAGGAGTGAAGTGGAGTGGAGTGGGGCATATGCCCCATGTGGCTTTTGTTTTTGTTGTTGTTGTTGTTGTTTACATTTAATGAGTAGACGCTCCTTTGGAAACTCGGCTTTCAACCACACTCTATATCTATATATAGTATGTGGTTCAATGTTTTTCCACTTCTGTCGCTTTCGTTTTCACAGTGATATGCCATAGCGCATCTATATATAGATCTTGAACACCACTTGGCTGATTTCGGTTGGTGTTGTTAGTTTGTTTGTTTTCCTTGGGAAGAACCGATCATGGCTCGAGTTTTATTTCGATCTTGATAAGAATCGAGAAGAGGTTAAGGTTGTCTTTATGCGTGTAGAAGTGATGCGGAGGGGGTTCAAGGGGTTTGAGATATTACAATTTTTCACATCCTTGAAATGCCGTGAACTTTCTCAGCACAGATAGTAATCTTGTGGAGTTTTGTTTTGTTCAAAAGATCACGAAAATAAATGACTTTGTTGTTTTTCTTTATAAGTATTTTTAAAAATAATTTGAAAAACAAGCCTGATAAGAAATTGAGAGTTTATATTTCTTCGAATCGAATATTTTTGTATTATATTATTGTTTTTCTTTTCCAATATTGCTAACAACATAACTAAAATATGGCAAAGGATGCCAATTTTCCTCATTTATACTTACATTTGCATGCTGTTCTTTCCGAGTTTAATGGTATATATATATTGGTTTCCTTTGCTTTCCTTAATATATAACAATCAAGGCTTTGGATATTTATATGTTGTTTGATATACGCGGATTATAGAACGTTTATATTGTGGATGTGTGTGTTTTAGGCATATAGTGTTTATATATTTCCGGGCGCTCCCTTTTCACTTTCCGTGTATAGAGTTTCTAACGGGTTTATCACTTGCTTAAGGAACTTTCTTTTTTGCTAATTTGCAGATTTTCTTTTGCGATCACACAGTTTCAAAATCACAATTGATTGACGAAAAACAAAACAAAACGACTAAAAATAAGGGGTAAGTTTCCTTCTTTTTTTTGTGGGTTTAGATAGGGTTTTTGTACGTGCAAAAAAAAAAAAAAAATTGAAAAAAAAAGCGGAGCCGATAAATATTTGTATCCTTTGCGATTGAAGATCGATTAAAGTCCTTTTGCTATCGATAGGCGATTGGTGGAGTGCGGGCAATCGAACAAGTGGCTAACTTCTGCTGCTGCTGCTGCGTTTTCGACTGCTGTTGCGGCTGCTGCTGCTGCGTTTTCTGCTGCTGCTGCGCCCACAAGTTGTTGTTGCATCGCGTGACGTATTGTGGCACGAGCAGAAGAGTGCGGGTATATCTATCGGACCGCAGGCGTCTGAGCAACTGATCGACTAATCGACTGGCAATGCGAATTGTAGCGGTATTCCGCTGACGTTGCGACTGGCTTGGAATTGGAAACGCTTTTGGAAGCTGGACGCTTGGATGCTGGAACGTAAAGCTGCCGTTTCTTGGGAGTATCAGTATCTCGTATTCCCATCTCCCGCGATCTCCCCCTCTCTATCGCTCTCACTCTGCTCTCATATATATTGAACTGCGCTTGCTCTCTGTTCGTCCTTATCTCTATCTCTTTCTTTGGGAGAGCGCTTAACTCGTTCCCTCTCTCTCTAATTGTTTGCTGCTGTTTGTGGTTGTTTATTTTTAGACCCTCTATAATTAGAAGGCTTCTTATCTCTATCTCGCTCGCCCGTCACTTTCTTCCGCTTTCCACACACTTTTAAATTGAATTCTTCTCGCACTTTCGGAGAAAGGTTCTTGGCTTCTTACACTTTTAATTGCACTCTTCGGAAGAACGCACTTCGCACTTCCTTTCTTCCGCTTTCCACGCTTTAAATTGCACTCTTATCGAATTCTTCTCGCTCGCTCGTTTGGAAGAACGTTCTTCGTTGTTTCACAGCCAAATTGGAAAAGAACCGTTGCCGCGACGCCAGCGCAAAACGAAGCCTCACTTTACGCGCGTGCGAGTGAGAGGGAGCAATGCAGCCAATGCGAAGCACGTGGACTGCAGGTGGAAGTGCGAGCGAAACGACAGCAATTGGAAGGCAAAGTCCAGTGTCTTGGGAAAGGCAAAAAAAAAAAAATAAGAAAAAAAAGACAGTAAGCGCAAACAAATGCTTAAAATTAAACAATTTGCCGGCCATGACACATTCAATCAACTTTGGGTCACCGTGGAGCCGAGTGTTTGCGGGTGTGTGTGGGTCTTTAAGAGCATTAATACAGGCCAAAGTCTATAAGCCGAACTAAATTACATGGGACTCTTAGAAAATTATCTCCAAACTTGGAATTTTAAACAGGTAATATTACTTGACCTAATGTTTTTAAGTTTATTGTCATCGAAGTTTAATCTATACAACTTTAAGTTACGTTTTATAGTATTAATGGTCAGCTAAGTTTTTAATCTTAGCTTAAGAACTTATGTAATCTAATTGAGAGCACAAGAAAAAGAAAATATCAACTATTTAGTTAAACATCGGTTTTCTGATTCCCCCTTTAATTGTTTACATGGTGCAGCGTCAGCAAATTTAGACTTTATCGCTCATTTCAGTCATCGAACAATTAGTCATGTTGGAAATATTATGAGTATAATGTCTGGTGTTTCTCAACAGTCGATAATGCCTGGTTTGAGTTCCATAAAAACATAGTTTAAAAAGTCGCATTTTTGAAACATTTTTCAAGACTTGCACTTGAAACAAACCCTTAACATAAATTAAGTATTTATTTAATTAAGAATTTAAAAATTTCTATACAAAAATGTTCTATTTTTAACCCTTAACCAAAACTTGTTATAGAAGATGATAATTCGAGTTAGGAAAGTCGGACTGTATAACCATACAATAGAATAATCACATTAATAAGATCGTCTTTGAACAAAGTACACACAAACATTGCATGTGTGTGGGTGTGCGTGTGTGAGTGACAAATGCACACAGCAACAAAAAGCACAACAACAATAAATAGAGTGAATCCATCAGTGGAAAAGCAGCATCCAATCCACGCTATATATGTATGTACATATATATACATATGTATGCACTTGTTGATTTTCATTTTCCTTATTAACGGTAACGCTTCGTCAAAGCGACAAAGTTCAGTCGTTTGTAGATGACTCCAAACCATTCTATTATGGGTTTATATATGCCATAGAATTTCCGTAACCCCTTGCCCCCAATTTCTGTACAGCTATAATTGATTATTGTTAACTGAAGTGTAAGTCTTCAATTGATTTTAATAATATATATGTACATATGTATGTTCAATTGTTTGGTATTTGTAAAATGATTTTTACTTTTACAAACAATATGTGTTACCAATAGATTGTACATAATTCGAAAAATTACATTAATGAAATTTAAATAAAAATGGGCAATAAAATAGCTATAGATGCGATTAATCAGAGCTTGATCCATTAATTGGAAAGACTGATCCATGGAAAGAATAGATAAGTCCAGAAATAAGACTAGATAAACTGTTTAAAATTTATGTCAATCGCAGATTGATTGATGATAACCAAATGGTTTAATTTTGATTTCTTTGATATACGCATTATATCGAAGTAATCAAAATTAAACCATTTGTTTATCTTTTTTGGTACCTGATACCCTGTACACGACCAGATGGTATGGGGTATATGGGTGGGGTATGGGTGTATGGGGTCTTGGGCTTGGCTTGGCTTATAGATAATGATTCGGCGATAAGCTTGTTGATGTTTTTGTTGCTGGAACAGCTAAGGCGACTGCGACATCGATTGCAGCCGATGAAGATGAAGAACGGAAGCCGATGGGGCAGCCCAAAAGGGGGGCGGTGGGCGTGGTGGGGTGCTACGCTGTCCGTCCGTCAGTGAAAAAGCCGTAAACAACGGCAACGTGAATTCGTCGTGATCTAGTTTCGATTCAAAATAAAAGATCCCTATTTTTAGCATTAATCTCGGCTCTCCGTCGAGGAAAACAACATCTCTCTAGAGAGAGAGAGAGAGAGAGAGAGAATGCGAGAAAGAGAGAGATAGAGAAGGAGGGTGGGAAGTGTGGGCGGAGATGGGGTGGCAGTAGGAGGGTGAGGGTGAGGCCCTGTGTGCTAAGTCATCGTGCGAGATAAGCCAAGGCTTGTACATGCCGAGAAAAATTGTAAACAAGTATCAGTCATTTCTCAAATATATCAGTCGTGTTAAGAAAAAAATTCCTCCTTCTATCGATACTTAAACTCAGTTGAAATCGATTACCAATTGTTTATTGTTCGTTTTTGTTTTTAAGACCATAGGTAATTTACACTAATAAAAAAGTGTTCAAAATTCGCCGAATATAATATAACTTATTTGTATCTTATCGATTCTAAGCCCCAGATGTTATCGATTATCAATTGCTTATCGTTCGTTTTTGTTTTTTAAACCATAAATAATTTTGACTAAGAACGAACTGTTCAAAACCCCGAATTTCTGGATGTTCTTTAAAAACATCTTTACCTCATTGATTCTTTCCAATTGTTTATCGTTCGCTCTTTCATTAAGGTGTAAATATAACATTTTGCTAAAAAATATACTGGGTATATTGATTTCAAATATTTGTTTTAGGGATAAGGCTATAATATAATTGTAAATATGTTCTCTGTAAATATAACATTTTGCTCCTTAAAAAATATCCTTTCAAATATTTGTTTTAGGAAGAAGGCTATAATACATTTGTTAACATGTTCTCTCTGTGTAGGTTGTCCATCTGTTGTTTTTGGAGAGACTAAATGGGCGGGCTGTTGTTGGTTGGATGAATTGGATTGGATGGATCGATCTCAGCGGTATGAGCAATACGCAACGCGGTGCAGAGTCCAAGGTGGGAAGACCCACACGGGGAGCACGCCACGTCAGGGTCAACGATTCAAATCGGATCGGATCGATAGCCGATGGGTGAATGGATCGACAGGTATTATAATACGTTACTACGATCCTGCCAACTAGGATTCAGGATTATTAACAAGTTGAAATAAAACCTGCTGGTAAGGATTTACTTTTGAATTATATTATCTGAAGAATCTTAGCATTTTTGAATATTAAAAAATAGGTAAATACATATTTTTTAATCAATGTTTAGCTAAATATTTAAAAGTCATTTTCTTTTATTTAAATGTATAAGAGATAACTTATAAGCTATAAAAGACAGGTGATCGATGGTTTCGATAGATTGTTGGCCTATTGATTTCGATAAATCACCAACTGCCAGCGGGGAAATCAAGAGTGGGCTCTTGGTTTTTTCCTCTAGCCAGAGGTTGAGATAAGCAACTAGTGGGAGGCACCACAGATGCTGATCCCGATCCCGATCCCGATCCCTCACCCACTACACTTGAGGCAAAAGAGGCAAAAGAGGCAAAAAAAAAGGTGATGGGGGGAGGGGGTTGCCAGGAGGCGATCGAGCGAATATTGTTTACTTGTGCTAAAATTGGATCTTCATTGATTGACATGTACGGCAATCGGGCGCCAACAACAAGACATCGCGAATCTATAGCTCTGAGCCCGAGATGCTATAGCTCAGACGCAGATTATTGACCCAGAAGCGTGGAGGAGGTTTGTTGTTGATACCAAAAGCCTAGACATCGGCGACAACAGTCTGCAATCGTAGTATACATATGTACATATGTATATGTGGGCAAAAAATACCACAACAAAAACAATAACAAATCAAATTCACATTCCCATTCTAGCGAATTGAACTTTGCAATTAAGTTGCAAGTTCCATCGAACTAACGCTTAGTTGATCGAGTTTCTCTTTCAATTTCGGTGTTAGCCATTGATGTTAAAATATTTATAGGAAAATATTAATATTAAAATATTTATAAATTATAATTCAACTTTGCAATTTATTTACAAGTTTCCTAGAATTAACGCTTTATTGGGAATTCCTAGATGGATGTTGGATAGCAATTAAAAATTGAAGAATTCAAATGAAAAAAAACTACCAATAAATTTTGAACACTTCCTAGATATTCTATTACATTTTAATATATTCCACTAAAACCATTCGTGATTTGCCAGATTCCTTGAATTGATAAAAGGTCTTGGTGGTCGCAAACTGTAAACAATAAACCGATTTAAGTGCTGTTTTTAATACAATGAGTTATGGTATAATCAAAATTGTTTACTTGCCATATTTTCCTTTAAAATCATTTAAAAGCAGCAATTTATGGGGTAATTCTTGAGCAAAAAAACAAAAATGCTTTAGCTTTAAAAATAAATCACTATTGTGATTCATTTGCTAAATTTACATTAAGTCAATAAAAAGTTTATCTTTTTCCCAATAATTGCAATTAAGATTAATTGTTTTCACTCGAATTTTAAATTCTTAAACACTTAACAATATTCAGATAGTAACAATATATTTATTGGTCATTTCGATTAAAAAGAATAAACAAGTTTTATATTTTTTTCCATTTAAAAGGTCAAAATGAGATTAAATTGGGCTTGTGATATTGGATACTCTGTTTATGAATACTTCCCCTTTTTAATTTGGTAACACACCTTGCATATTTTTTGTTTCCAGTTCCATTCGCATTTTATTATTAAGATTCTTGTGATTTTTCTATTTTTTCTTATATATTGTAGCGTTGTGAAAAAACAACTCACGAAATTATCGCCCGATGTCAATAAACTGTCGCCAACGACCCCAAAAAAAAACAAAAGCAACAATGGAAGGTGGGTGCTAAAGTGGGTGGGGAAGTGGGTGGTGTTTGGGTGGTCGAGATGAAGAGCAAAGAGCAACAATCGAGAGAAACAGCCACCAGCGGGCATAGACACACATTTTTGGGTCTATTTCATTTTTTTTCTGGTCTTCACATTGGGGGCGGTGGGTGGTAAGTGGTAAGTGGCTGGGCGGCCTCTGTCAGCTGCCAATGAACTGCAATCGGCTAGGAGGCCTCAAGGTCAACGTCTGGCACACAAAACGCCGCCACCACGCAGTGGTTCAAAGAGTGCTGACCTGGAATTGAACGCCCCGAAAAGTAAGACCTTGAACTCAGTGAACATAAAAAATTGGCCAATCAACTAAGGTCTTCAAATCAACTGAGTTCTTTCATTTAATTCATAAGACCAATTTCTAAATTTATAAATTTTTAAGTGAGTCCACCGGGACTCTTAAAGAAATTATCCCATTAATTTAGTACAATGAACTACATTTTCCCTGAGAGGCTGCAGCTTCAAGCTTTCAATTTAAAAATATTTATTAAAATATTTGAAAAATGTACCTTTAATGTTTAATAAGGAAACTTAATATTAATATCGTAGAGGAGTTATATTACTATGGTGAAATATTTTTTTTAAACAATGTATATAAGCAATCAAAATATTTAGGTCTACTTTTTTTTAATAAGAAAATATAGCAAGTATGAATAAATTGTAAATTTAAAAATTTGTATGTGAGATAGAGTAAATAACGCATAAATTAAGTACAATTGAAATAAATTCCTGAAGAGGCTACAACATTAAGTTATTAATTTAAAAATATTTGTAAATTTATTTCAAAACTGTACCTTCAAAGTTTAATAAGGGAAATCAGCTTATTATGGTGAGATATTATTTTTAAATAAATATGTTATTTAATTCCATAAAGAAGTATAAATAAATTAATTTAAGAACTGTAACCATAATTGTATTGACAATTCGAATGTATTAAATTACATGGAGTAACTAAGTGTAAGCAGAAACTGTTTGTTTACTCGCCATTTCAAGGTTGGTTTGATTTTAGTTCACCCGTCAATGAAATGAAATAGGAACCACTGACCCACAAAACCCATCTCTAATCTATTTTCCCGGACACTCCGACTCCGTAACCTCCATGACGTCTTCGTATGCGTAATCTGGAGGTCGGCAATTGGGTATTTTGAATCGGGATTCGTAAATGGGGAGTTGGGGCAACTGTCTGCCATCCGTCTGGCCGGCTGGCCGGCTGGTGACCTTGAGTCCCGCCCCGGACCGAAAGACCCGAACACCGAAAACCCAAACCCCAAAACAAAACCAAAACCAAAAATCCGGGGAGCATTGCACCCACAATAATTGCGTGTGTCCCGATGAACTTTCACCACGGGCATTTCCATTTTCCCTTTTCCATTTTCCATTTCCCATGAAACAGAAGCCAGCGAATCACTTAAACGGCGCGTGGTCTCACAACTTGTAAACAGAATCGAGTTTACTATGTACGGCAGACTTACTACACATATTATATATATTATAGGTATATATTATGTTTACACGCAATTCATGCGATTAGAGCAGTACGATTTCAAAATAAATCATTAACCGCATTTCAATCATTTTCATCAATTAATCATTGACCAAAAAACAAAACGTGAAACCCATCTATATTATATGTACTATGTACATGCATATACATATACATATGTGAAATAAAACACAATCTTCGACCATATGAATGTATAATATTGACATCAATTCTGGTGACAGTACGATTCATAGTTAATAAGTAAAAAAAACAATTCTTGCGTGCCTGCTATCAACACTCACGATCTTGTCATTTCGAAACGCACTGTTTGCCATGCATATTTTATATAATTACGCGAATTCAGATTGTAAACAATTTTACAAATAGTCGCAATAACAATTATAGCCGATTTGCTAGCGATAAGAGTTGCGAGACTATTGAAAACCAGCCGGAGAAGTCCGGGGTTTCTCGGGTTGCGGGAAAGAAGGAGCACAAGGGTATCGGATTGACCCGGTTCCAATCTCTCAATCTTATAATCTTTCCGATTTCCCACGTGGCCGCTACTCAACAATCGTTATGGGAAATCATTAGTGGCTGACTTTTGCAGCCCACTGCAATCTAAATTAGTTTTTTATTTTTTTCCTCTTAAATCCTTATCAATGATCAGTGATAACTGGCAATTTTAAAGCTTATTAGACTATTGTCCTTAACTGATTTGTCCAATACGTATACAGACACACTTTTTTCTCCATAAAAATGTTAAAAAAACGAAATCTAACTAAATATGCAGATAAATTGGTGAACTAAATAATTTTTAGAATGTTTTTGAGCCCTTGTTTCACCACTCTTTGCCATTCATTAAAAATTTCGAAAAAAACAACATAAAAATAGGTCAAATAAGCCAAATATATTTTCGTAAACCCTTTTTTTTTTAATTTTTGAAACGTAAACAAATGGAAAAAAACCAAAATTTTAAATTAGCTTGGTACAGTGTTGAACTATCAGATTAAGTAATACAATAGTTCCATAAACATATATTAGTTTTATTGCATATCTAATTTTCCTAGTTCCCAGATGATGTCATATTTTCGTAAGCCAGTTTTTCTAATTATAGTTCATAGTTTTGAAATTGATTGCAAGAAAAGTTTTAAAAAACGAAGTCATTACACAGATGTTCGAAATCCAGAAAACCCAAAATTTGTATTCACCTTAATACAGTGTTGCACTATCAGATTAATGGATACACAGTGAATACAACAAATTTTAATAAAAGATATTCGGGTATACATGATTTAGTTATTCGATTTAAAATTGGTTGCAGGAAATGCGGAAATTGCGGTCATGAGATCATGGGATCATGGGGTCATTGGGATCTTCGGCGAAAGCATCGGGGAAGTGTGGTGCAGGACCGTAGCGCGGTCCGTTCCCGGCGTGAAAGAGCCCGATGGTCATGTTCTTCGCCAAATACTCGGCCACGAACTGCGAGGTACTGGCTATGGCATCCCACTGACCGTGCAGCTGGCGCAGTTCCTGTAGTTCGTCCAGGGCCAAATAGAACATTGGCTGGGTGATACGGTCGGGCTCTCCCAAGCGTGACAGAGTGTGGACGCTGCGCCGTCGGGGCAACATCCGTGGGACATTCACCTCCGGAAGCAGATTCCACATGTTGGGCTCCACCACCTGGTATACGCGGCTGTTGGCGCTGCGCATTCGGTACTCCTCGATGGTCATAACTAGTGGCAAAGGGAACGATTTAGTAGTCTTGGATATTTAACAAATGTCTTATTTGTTATTTTCGATTTGGCCACTGGATATGGGAATGGGAAAAAATAACTAACTGGAGCTGTTTTTAATTCAAAAAACCAAAAAGTCACTAAATAAATGCTAACTCCTGGGTCGTTGCACCTCAATCAGCTGTTCGCCAGCTGGGAACCAGTGTTGTCTATCCTTTTTTATATCAAAAAAAAACATGGTATCACTGCAATATACTCGTATTGCAACACACTTTTTTTCACTATTAAATCAATAATTTTAATTTTTTAACTTGCAGACAAAGTCCCTAAAGATTTTTACACCCGAAAAAAATGTTTTTATTTTTGCACAAATTCCATAATTATTGGAACATTGTCCTAACGACGAGCCTTCCATATATACATATATATATAGAAAAAAATTACCGAACAAAAAGTACTCAAGACGATATAGCCGGCCAAATAGCGCTGGATAATGTTTAAGATATTTGTTTCTTAAATATGTATATTACGCAGGTGGGCGTATAGCTTGGGGCATTAAGAATTTGTTTCTATTATTAAGTTTTTTTTTTTTGCTAAGGGTACGGTTTTACTAGTGAATTTCTTGGGAAGAGCGCAAGACTTGAACACTCACCGGGTCTTTGTACTCCTGAGCGGTGCCCCCAGGAAGTACTGAGGCGGTGGTCGAACCACCACGGCACCAAGGCCTGGCTGTAGATCATGTCCTGCTGCTGGTGGTGCTGCTGCTGATGGTGGTGCTCCTGCTGATGGTCTAAGAGACGCTGGGTGCATCTCCTCTGGCGGCGAGTTGGATATTGGATTAACGATCCTTGAGTTATCATCGTGAATTCGTCCAGGAACGTGAACTTTTGAAGAGGGGATTCGGATTCTATGAGTGACTGGGACTGAAAGCCAGCGTGTAGAAGTTGTGTGTGGATTTTGTGTGAAGATCTGTTGTGTGTGGACTGCTGTGTGCTGATTTCTGAAATATTTTCAGAATAATTGAGTAAAGGAAAAATCTAAGGCAGTCGATGAGAACCGAGTGCGAAAAAATGTCTGGTGAGAAAGAATTTTTGGAAGATATAGACAACTTTTTGAACGGGGAAATCAATTCGATACGCGTAAGTATATACCAACGTTGTATTTAACCGGTTTCCAATTATCCAATTACTTTATTTACCCTCATAGCTTATACGTTTTTTTCTGTTGGTTTTTTAGGTCAATTAAATATATTTACCAGATATATCAGCTTTTCGTACGTTTTAAGTATCTTTAATATATTTTTATACAAAAATTACGAAATTTATTTGTTATATTCCACAAAACATTTTGTGAGACTATAGAAATTCTATAAAAATTAGGAAATGAATAAATTGTCATTAACTTTATTCTCAGAGGTTGCTTCGTATTAAAAATTTTTTTTGGCGAAATGTTGCTTGTAATTGAACATTTGTAATTTCTTTCATTCTATGCGTGGTTCAGAAAAGTTGTTTATATTATGCTAAGAAGCTCCCAAATATAATTTAAATCTAGCGCCCTTTTCCTTCGATAACGATAAATGTAACGGAAACGTTAGGACACGTAAACGTAAGTGATGGTCATTGTAACGTCATGGCATTTATTTTCCCGTTTCAAATTACCGATTGGGCTATCGGTAATCGATTTTCATAAAGAGTGACCACTCTTACACAAAGGTGGATAAATCGATGTTTGTGGCGGAAAATATCAGCGTTTCATGGATGTTTGAATTGCAATTAAAAACTGCTATATCTCTTGAGCCGATTCAAATTTTAGCTTCAAGACATAACGAAGTAAAAGGCAAAAACATAATGATTTTCTCAAAACAGAGAAAAAATGTAAGTACTAGGAGTAATGATATTTTGTCAATGACTTTGGTTATACCACTGCCTGCAAGATTAGTTGGGGCCAAAATTATGTTGGTGCTTTATTCAAATATAATGCTTAATTGCAGAGTGATCACATTTTAAACTCTCATAATTAAACAAGTTTTACGTTTTTTTTCCATTTATGGTGTTGAATATCGAGTGCACTTTACCACAAATTAATTAACTAATTTAAGCAAAGGGTGTGCACGAAATATACCAGAGTCATTAAAAGTGAGCAAAAACTGGAGTTTAATTGTTCAGTGTTACCATTTTTTAAATTTAGAATGACAGTAATCGTTGGGGATGGACAATGACCTCAATGTTTCTCACCTCTAGCAAGTAAACTAACATTGCTGTAGGGAAAACGTTGATTTTAACATTTTTGGAAGGAAATCGTTTGTAATTCTGTTAGAACGTCCGAGTTGTTAACCATCCAAGTTCTCCACCATCCAAGTTATCAATCATCCAAGTGCTCAACCACTCACGTTCTCCACCAATCGATGTTGGCATCGATAATTCTCCGTCTCTACGGTTTTTTGTGTTTGTTTAGTTTAGTTGGTTGTTTAGTAAAATCAGTCAAGATAACGCGACGCGGCCTGTCATAAAACTCGATATTCAAGACGTCTAGACGGTCATAAACATCGAGAACTGCGAAAGCCGACCAAAACAAAAGAAAACAAATGTTTTAATAACAACAGGTAGCCATGACAAATACCCCGTCCTATCGATAATATTTATACCCAATAGAACGGGCCAATTCACGCCTCCAAACAACGATTAAGGGCGTCAAAAGTATACAAAACATCTCGGAAAACAAATAATTTATTAAAACTAAATTGAAATATAAGCTTGAGCAGGTTGTGCCGATACCGATATCGATACAATTATTTATTTCCGTAGCCGGCACTATCCAATGTTATCGGATAATTGACAGCGCTAAATCCTTTGGAAAATCCTCAAGTTCAGCTGCTTTTACACACATTGACCTTCACTTTACATACATACGGTATATACAAGGTGTTCTTCGTGCGTGACCGTGTGTGTGTGAGTGCGCCTGCTGCGAGTGTGTGGGTGCACTGGAAAAAAGACTGGAAGTGGAAGAGCAAAAACACAGGCGATAAAATCAGCGAAAAATCAGGATATTTTGTTGGCCCCCGGAAAAGTAGCAGCACCCGGAATATAGCCCGTTCAAAAGTCAAGGACGGACGCAATGCTGCCCCCCGCCCACATGAGTGGCTGTGGGTGGCTCACCCATTAAAACTCCACTAAAACGCAAGCGCAGGAGTTTTTTTCCTTCAAGGAGTCAAGGCTTCTTCGTTTTCGGGGTCATGGTCACAAGACATTGGATATATATAGGGGACAGGATATAGCCGCACCAGCGGAGCGCCAACATCATGTCCAGCGAATCGTCCACCGAGGGCGATAGCGATCTGTACGATCCCGTGGCCGAGGAGCTGCACAATGTCCAGTTGGTGAAGCATGTGACCAGGGAGAACATCGATGCCCTCAACGCCAAGTTCGCCAATCTGCAGGAGCCACCAGCCATGTACTTAACGGGTAAGTCCTTGGCATCCCATCTGAAATCCCCGGGGAGCACTCTATTTGCTACCGAATATCGGCAATACAAATGTACTTCTTGGGATATCACATCTACCATCGATCTGAATAGCAAATCATTTTTGAAATGGGTATTTTCATAGCTCAACCTGTAAGCACATATGGATATAGCCATATAAATCCATTCTAATTAGTTAACAAATGCTAAATGTTGCACTGTTATTATAATATTTCTATATATATATATATATTAATATATAGCATATCATGATTAGGTGTGTATTTCCATAGCTCAACCTGTAGCACATATGGATATCACTGTATATACCAATTCTAAATATTATACAATTGCTAATTATTGTACTTTATTGAGTGTATTCAATGTGATTAATGTACTTCTTAGGATATCATATGTATAGTATACGATTACTAATTATAAATATTTTACATTCTGAATGTACTGAAATTTAAGTACTACTTAGGAAACAGTCTCTTAAAACGATACATCAGTACATTTGTATGCCTTGATTTAGATGGTTATTTGCAAAGCTCTTAAACCGTATATCAATATACTCTATATAGACCCATTCTAACCATTATCATTTCCCGCACACAGAATACCAGGAGTTGACCTGCAAGCTCCACGAACTGGAGGCCAAGGAGCAGGAGCTAATGGAGCGGCTGAATTCGCAGGATCAGCAGGAGGACTCCAACTCGTTGGTTGAGCGATTCAAGGAGCAGCCCCACTATCAAAATCAAACCCAAATCCTGCAGCAACAGCGGCAATTGGCCCGAGTGCATCATGGCAATGATCTGACGGACAGTCTGACAGGCTCCCAGCCGGGCAGCCAATGTGGCACCCTGACCCGCCAGCCCAAGATCCTGCTGAGAGCCCACCTGCCCAACCAGCAACGCACTTCGGTGGAGGTTATTTCGGGCGTTCGACTGTGTGATGCCTTGATGAAGGCCCTGAAACTCCGGCAACTGACACCGGACATGTGCGAGGTGAGCACAACACATTCCGGAAGACATATCATACCGTGGCACACGGACATCGGAGCGCTGCACGTGGAGGAAATCTTTGTGCGGCTGCTGGACAAGTTCCCCATCAGGACGCACATCAAGCACCAGATCATCAGGAAGACCTTCTTCTCGCTGGTCTTCTGCGAAGGCTGTCGCAGGCTGCTATTCACCGGGTTCTATTGCAGCCAGTGCAACTTTCGATTCCATCAGCGCTGCGCCAACAGGGTGCCCATGCTGTGCCAGCCCTTTCCCATGGACAGCTATTACCAGGGGCTCCTCGCCGAGAACTCGGTCCGCTTCAAGTGCAACCGCAGTCGGCGGTGCAGCAGCAGCGGCAGTAGCAGCAGCTCCAAGCCACCATCCTCGTCCTCCGGCAACCATCGACAGGGTCGTCCGCCCAGGATCAGCCAGGACGATCGATCCAATTCGGCGCCGAATGTCTGCATCAACAACATTCGATCCGTCACGAGCGAAGGGCAGCGCAGTTTGATCATGCAGGCCAGGCCTCCATTGCCGGTACGTTTTTGGGGATTATGCTCTAGTAGTAGATTAAGTTTACTTGGTCAATATGTTGCACTTGGCTGCACAGTGTGCAGTGCAAATCCACTTTGATTTGGCAATCACTGAACTGTCGAAACTAAGAACACATCTGAGTACTGTGAACTTTGGCGGCAGTTGTCCGCCCATTCACATTTTAGAAGGACATACTTTGCACTTTTCTTGTATGCAGGTTTATTTAAATTCTTTGATTTAAGAACCGTGCTCGTGGTCCTGAGGTCTGTCTATATTTGTGCGCTTCACAAAGGTTTAGTAGTAATCCTGGCCAGTTCCTACATTTCTAGTATAAACGATGTCGAGGTGCAAAGATTTATGCAATATGCTTAGAAATTTGCTGTACTGTTTTCCTAGAGAAAGTAGGAAGCTTTCTAAGCTAAAACTTTGGCTTATTGGGAAGCAAACTCTCTCTTCCGCTCCATAAATATTTGCTTTATCCTGTACCTCAATCCATTGCAGTATCCCTGTACGGATCACTCGAACTCCACGCAGGCATCGCCCACCAGCACGTTGAAGCATAATCGTCCCAGGGCAAGATCCGCCGACGAGAGCAACAAGAATCTACTTTCGCGGGACGCCAAGAGCTCTGAGGAGAACTGGGTAAGGAGCAGTTAACCTAAGTTAACCTGAATCTGAACTACAACCCTTACTTACCCTGCAGAACATCCTGGCTGAGGAGATTTTAATTGGGCCACGGATCGGATCGGGATCGTTTGGGACCGTTTACCGTGCCCACTGGCACGGACCCGTGGCCGTTAAGACGCTCAACGTGAAGACACCGAGTCTCGCCCAGCTGCAGGCCTTCAAGAACGAGGTGGCCATGCTGAAGAAGACGCGCCACTGCAACATACTGCTCTTCATGGGCTGTGTGTCGAAGCCATCGCTGGCGATTGTTACCCAATGGTGCGAGGGCAGTAGCCTCTACAAGCACGTCCATGTCAGTGAAACGAAGTTTAAGTTGAACACGCTCATCGATATTGGTCGTCAGGTGGCCCAGGGAATGGATTACCTGCATGCCAAGAACATCATACACAGGTGGGCAAACATCAATTTCCGTCATGCAAAAGAGTTCCTTGTTAAACAATATACCATTTTCAGAGACCTGAAGTCGAACAACATCTTTTTGCACGAGGATCTGTCCGTGAAGATTGGCGATTTCGGACTGGCCACGGCGAAAACTCGTTGGTCTGGCGAAAAGCAGGCCAATCAGCCCACGGGCAGTATTTTGTGGATGGCTCCGGAGGTGATTCGCATGCAGGAACTGAATCCCTACTCCTTCCAATCGGATGTTTATGCCTTCGGCATTGTGATGTACGAACTGCTGGCGGAGTGCTTGCCGTACGGTCATATTAGCAACAAGGATCAGATCCTGTTTATGGTGGGTAGAGGATTGCTGCGACCGGATATGAGCCAAGTGCGTTCGGATGCGCCGCAGGCATTGAAACGTTTGGCCGAGGACTGCATCAAGTATACGCCCAAGGATCGACCGCTCTTTCGGCCGCTGCTCAACATGCTGGAGAATATGCTGCGCACTCTGCCCAAAATCCATCGCAGTGCCAGCGAACCGAACCTGACGCAATCGCAGCTCCAGAACGATGAGTTTCTGTATCTGCCCAGCCCAAAAACGCCGGTGAACTTCAACAACTTTCAGTTCTTCGGCAGTGCTGGAAATATTTAGACAGCAAGCTGTACCTGTACTTACATATATCCTGCATCCTGCATCCTGTGTGATCAAAGTGATCCTATTTCTAGGTGTTTTTTTCCCCTCCCTTCCCCGTTTTTGTCCCTCTGTACATATAAGCGATTCGCGAAACGGGACGGCTTTGGTCTGACCACCAAAGTGAAAGAGATGGAGATGCAGATGGATATGCAGATGGATGTGGAGATGAAGATGACGATGGGTGTCGTCTGCCTGCCGACCCAAAAGCGAAAACTGATGCTTTTCTTGGAACTGACAAAGTGCATTTCTGTTACCACAAAAACGACTACAAAACTGTAAACTAAACTGCAACGCCCATGTGTAAATAACTGCATCATTACTTATATACGTTAGGCAAGACTACTAAAACTAAACTAAACTAAACTAAACTAGCTGATCGCAATTACATTATACACATTATACTTATACTACAAAAAAAAAAGAAGCACAAGCTGTTTGTCTCTGGAGTTGAAAAGTGGAGTGAAGTGACAAATGGTAACGAAATTCTTGGTAACACAGTTTGGACCACAAAATAAATACAGGTATTATTATCTATTAGGTTTCTACTTTATCATTTTAAATCGTTTATGTCTGTTTGCTTTGATTTGGTATTTACTATTTAAGATATGAATCTTTAAGGTATAATTTCATTATTTAGTTCTAGTTAAATTCATTTATATTTCAATTTTTAAAAAAATATTTTCAGCTTATTAAGTGATTAAAACAAAAAGAAAATTGTGTGGAAGGTATTTCAAAAAGTTTATGAAATAAGGATAAGGTTTTCTTATTATTATAATTATTATAGAGATTTAAAAAAAGGTCCTTAATCTTTTTTAGCTGTAGAAGCCATTCAAAGAGAAAGAAAAGGATGTGGAATGTATTCCGACAAATTTAGACAGCTTTAAGGTTTAGGTTTCCAGAAAAATTTAAAAAAAAGGTTTATTTTAGAGATGTTGTGTTTTATAGATTTTGGGATACTAACTTCATTCAGCAGTGCTTCTAGTTTGATTAAAATTGTAGGATTTTTAAAAACAGGTAACCTTTTTGGATAAAGGTTTAAAAAAAAATCTTGAAAACAAGTTTACTCTAACTACATTCAAACATTGCTTTTTAGTAAGACAGTATTATTTTGAAAATCAAACAAAAATGGGATTATTTGATGTATTTGGGAAAACTCAAACTAAGATTAGGCCAACTCTCATAAACAAGTCTTACTGATTCGGTTGGATAAACTTTATTCATTTAGCAACAGGTAAAGGAAAAGGGAGGATCTCCAGGTAACTTAAACATATCTACTGGCGATGGCCAGGACCTTGGTGTAATCCGCGCCTTTGGCCAGTGTCTTCTCCTTGAGGATGGTGCGCAGGATGGTGGGAATGGGCACATGGATGCGGGTGCCCAGCGGACTGCCGTTGTCGTCGATGAGCACCAGATTATTGCTGTCGAACTTGGGCTGTTTGGGCTTCTGGTTCTGCTTGAGTCCCACGAGGATGCCCTTCTTCATCTGGCCCTTGATGGCCACCAGCACCTTGTCGCCGATCAGGCCCACGCCCCGCTTGTTGTACACATGGATGCACCTGGGCGGACGGCCCTCGGCCATCGCCCTTTTGCCCAAATCGCTGTTGTCCACCACCCGCAAACGGGCCAATTTCCGGATTTCGCAGCACGCCGGCGTCGTGTGAATCAACTCCTGCCTCGATCCACCGCCCAAGGTCGTCGTCGTTGCCAGTGGGTGGGCCATCGGCCTCAAGGTCTTCAGGATGCGCAGCGCCATAGTTCGCAGGTATGTCCCCAAAGTTTACTTAGTATTTAATTCATAAAAATCAAAAGGAAAATCACAACAAATTAAATTATACAATTCTCTGTTCGGCTGACAGGGTTGCCAGATGACCGGTGAAATCATATGGTGCGCTAACAGCACAGTTATCGATGTTAAGCTTTAACAGAACATGCTGCCGCTAAAGGCGGGAAAATCAAACGTCACTGTTAAAAGGCAAGTGGTTAAATTAATATAAAAAAAGTGAAATAAGTGTTTTTGAATTATCAGTTCCAAAACAAACATGGATTTTATTGCACTGTTTTAATAATATAAATATTGACTAACAAATTCGAAAAACTAATTTACATTGTTCAAATACTGCGTTATCCATCATGATTTTCGCCGCCATGAAATAATTATGTTTTAATAGAGAAAAATCTTTGCTCTGAATTGTTTTACTCAAAATATATAAGAAATTTCGAAGAATGCAGTGGTTGACTGACAAGGGTAACACACAAGGTGTTTGTTCTTTTATTTATTGTGTTATCTTATCAGGCCATTGATGAATTCGAAACTGCAAACAATTTGAGTTGTTGTATAGCATTTAATCGAAGAAAGTTGTATATTTTTTAAGTGGTTCTTAACCTTTTACCTTTTTTAGACACCTTATTCAAAAGTATAAAAACAGCTTTAATAAATTGTGTATTATATTTTATTCAGTTTAATACAATGCCATATATATATACATGAGCGCTAAAAGCTTAAACTGCTGTTGCTTTAAAATAATTTATTAGCATTATTACCTCTCGGTTTTGGGTTTGTTTGCTTTCGCTACAATTTGTTTTTTGTTTGTTTGACACGACTAAGTAGACCAGTCCCATTGGTTAGAAAATTGGTTACTATAATTCACTATGACATACGAAATATTATATAGGCATAATACAATATATATATAGATTAATTTTTCGCTTTTCGTTTTTCATTATGTTGTTTTTGTTTTTTTTTTGGGTTCCTCTTGTGACCTAATGACTAAAACAAAGTATTAAAAAACTACATAGTTCATAACAAAACACTAAGATTAGTTAAAAAAAAATGGGGATATTAGAGGCTTTTAAAGCGCGGGTTTTAGGTTGAAAAAAAAGTTCTACTAAATCTTGGCTTTTTCGAAATTATTTACAAATTCAACACAAAATTTATTGTTAACGTTTTAAAAAATATATAACTTTGTGCGCTGGTTTTTGTGCCTGGATTGTTGCCAGTATATTATGTTCGATAACTCAGGATCGGTTGAGCTCCTCGCGTTTGAAATTCCGTATCGCGTCCAACAGTTGGGAACGTGGATCCGGCGTTGTGGGACCAATGCGTGCGCCGTTCGTTTTCACGGGTTTCAGAGCCGGAACCATTTGTGGCGCAGGCGGTGGAGGCGGCGAAGGCGTGGCAGCCGCCGTCTGGGATGTGGGCTTCAGTTTGACCTGTAGACTAACCGGCCTGGTTTCCGGCTCCTGGAGCTTCAACTCCACTTTGGTGGACTTCAAAACCACGTTCACATTCTTCGCTGGCGGTGCTGGTTTCTTTTGTGGCGGGGATGTGGGCGTGGCCGCTGGAGTTGAAGGAGGAGGAGGAGAAGGAGTGGCGGTGTTGGTTCCATTTACGGACACTCTTGTTCTCAAGGCCTGCTCCTGCTCCTGCTGCTCCTTAGCCAACATTCGCTCCTTGAATCCCGTGCGGCGCAAAGTATTCTGTCCAAACGGAGCAGGAGCAGGATTGGCCTCCACTGGTCGATTTCTCTCCAAACTCGAAACAGGGCGTGGCAAGGAGTTAGTGGAGGCCAAGCTGGATGTCACCTGGTAGTTGCTTTGGCCAGCGGGCAGAGTGAGTCTATTACTTTTGGCTGGACGCGGCAACGTAGAAGATTGTGTGTTTTGGATTGGATTTTGGACCTGCACCTGCGGCTTCTCCTGAGGCTTCACCATCGTCCTAAGCTTCACTTGAACCGAAAAGGTTTCCTCTTGGATCTGCTGCTGCTCTTTTTCCACCGCCACCGGTGCCGGAACTTCCGGCTTAACCTGCTGCTGCTGCTGCTGCTCCTGGTTCTCCTGACTCACATCCTTCAGTGGCTTAACCGTAATGGGAACGTGGTACTCCTTCCGCTGGGGAATGCCCATCCGCAAAATGGGTGAAGCCACTTCGATGGTGAGCTTGGCAGGCTGTGGCGTTGGGGTCACCTTTTTGGATTTGCCTGCCCCGCCAAAGATATAGTCGCCTTCGTTCTTGATGGCCACCGTGGACTTGGGTCGTTCGCTCCATGTGGCAAAGTTGATGCTGGGTGGCCCCGAATAGCGATATGTAGTTGGCAGAGGCTTGGAGCCTGGAGCGGATTCAATCTGCTGACTTGGCTGCACTTCGGGGTTCCTCAGGCTAACAGGACTGGTGACTGGTGACGCTGGGGAATTCGGAGGTGTTATGGTTTCTTCCCCTTTGATCGCCTGAACTGTTGGCGAAACCAACAGTTTTTGAACTGGAGGAGGCGATGGTTCCGGTGCCTTGATAAAAGCCGGAGGAGATGGCTTCGGAGCTGGCAAAGGTGACATCTTCTTGGCCACAGGCGGCGACTGTTTCTGAACCACGGGAATCACTTGCTCCTGTGCAGTTCCCACAACTGGAGGCAATGATGAAGGCTTCTCAACTGGAGCCGACTGCTGTTTCTGCATTGGAGTAGGTGATTGCTTTGGGACAGGAGAAGGAGGTGACTGTTTCTGATCCTGGATAAGAGCAGGTTGCTGCACAACTTTGAGAACGGGAGATGATGGTTTCTCAACTTCTGGAGTCGACTGTTTCTGGACAGGAATGCCATTGGGAGAAGGACTGATGGCCCCAGCGCCATTATCAACTGATGACTGCTTCTCTTTGGTCAGGTTTTCCAGCTCCTTAACGATCTTTGGTTGCTCTGTAACAGGCGATGGCGATGGCGATGATGCACTGCCTCCTCCGCTTTCGGCCAGGCTGTTCTTTCTCGAGTTCAAGATGGTCTTGATCACTTCTAGACTTTGCAGCGAAGGTGATTCGCCAATGCTCAGCTCACTGGAGGAGCGTCTCTGACCCAAGCCAATGCCATTTGCTTGCTCCAGTTTGTTCAGCGAGAGATGGGAAGTGCTGCGAAGGCTCAGGAATGAGTCTCCTCCACCGCCGGCTGAGGTTACCTCCACCACTTCTCCACCAGATCCTACTGCCTGAAAGGAGTCGGCCCGACCAATCCTTGTCGTACTCTTGGCCGTGGCTATGCTGAAATTGGCCAATCGATTCGGTTTCACTGCCTCAATCTCAGCCAGCCGTGGATCGGGCTGCTTCTTAATCAACGTGTCCAGACGCTGTTGATTGATTATGGTGGCCAGTTCATCCACGATCTCGTCCAGCGGCGAGCCAGGACTGAGCGCAGCCGCATTGCGTTTTTGCATTTGCTGGTCGGAGAAGTCTGGCGGTGGCGATATGGGCACCGAGTAATTCCACGAGGAGAGCGAACCCTCGCTACTGGGTGTGGCCATGTGTCCATTGGTCCTGGTCACCTGCTGCTGCTCCACCTGGTGCTCATCCTCCTCCTCCTCGTCATCGACTTCGTGGGCTGTCAACACTGCCAGTTCCGCCAAACTGGTGGCAATGGGCTGCTCACCCTTCTTGGAGGTCTGGCACAGCTTGAAGTTGTACACCTTTATGGCCTCGTCGTCCTCGGAACTCGACTCCTGTTGCGATGTGTCAGCCACCGGTTCAGGCGAGGCCGATGGCGATGGTGCTGGCTCTCCAATGCCGGAATCCGCTTGCTTTGAAGCCGCATCATTGTCATCATCCTCGGTGGCACTGCCCAAAGATCGGGGTTCCGGTGTGGGAGTTCGATTTAATATTACTTTGGACACATTTCCATTGCTTGTTGGTGGTGGTGATCCATTTCCAGTTCCGTTTCCATTTCCATTTCCGTTTCCATTTCCATTACCGTTCATATTCCCATTGATTTGCGGTAGTGGAGGATTGGCAGTGGGTACAATTGGCAGAGGTGTTGTAATCCTGGGAGCAGGTTGCGGCATACTATTCGGGGTTGGTGTCACCGGTTCCGGAAGTGAGGCCAGTGATATGTTATCACCACCGTTTTGGAAATCTGGCGGTGGTGCCGGAGCTGTTTTCTTCTTGATCTGCAGCAATCGTTTTCGGGGCGTGGGTTCCGGACCCCCAACAACCGGAGGTTTCAGATCCAATGTGGCATAATGACCATCGGCGGAGTCCTCTTCCGGCGACTTTGAGCTATTGCCGTTGCAGTCCAACTCCGGAGGAGGACCGGAGAGATTTGGCGTGGACATGCAGAGCTGCGGTCGCTTGATAATCACCGCATAGGCAGGCTCGCTTTTTAAGCTAGCGGCCGGAATATCCGGCACAGACTGCTCGGGGATACAAATCTGGCTTGGTGGCCTCGGAGCCGCTCGCTTTTTGCGCGGCGGCGGGGCCAATACCTTTGCCGGTGGCACCACCACCGGGGTACGGGTGTAGTTCATTCCCGTGGAGTCCATCGAGTTCAGTGAGTTGCTCGAACTGTAGGGACTCGGCGTTTTGGCCGTCACCTTTGAGTGCCGGCTGCTACTGAAGTCCGAACTGCTGCTCAACGAATCTCGAGCGACTCCGGTGCGCTGGAATTTGTGCATCACATCCGGATTGAAGTTGTCGTACGACTCCGACTTGTGGCACAATCGGATCTCCGAGAGACCCACTGCTCCGATCGTCGATTCGCAACTGTACACCTGACTAGCATCCACTGAAAGGAAGAGGAATATTCATTAGTACTGGGTAATAGTAGTATGCTTTGTAAGGAATTTACAATTCTCTGCAGTTCACATTTCGGGATTTTGTATGGTAAACAAAACTCTTTAAAGCAGACAAAGCTCAAATATAACATTTGTGTTTTAACGGAACCAGGAATTCTATTAAGAAAATTAAGTAATTATACTGATAAGCAATGTCTTCCAATCCCAAATCGAAAGTGAAAATTTGTTCTGGCTTCTCTGTAAATAGAGGGTAATAGGACTTGGCGTAGTAAAAATATAATGAATAGATAACTTTAAATGTAGCTTTCCTAAAGATCTAAAAGCCAAAAAATTACATAAAACTCTCTTAAGCGGACAGCTCTCTTAACCGGACAAATTTTTGTTGGTACACATTTCTCCAAATCTCTAACATACATACTTCAGGAGTTATATGAGAAAGATTTAGAGTTTAAACTTTAGTTGGTTTTTAAATTCCCAATAAGATGGCGTTATTATACGGACAAACATACTATTCCAATCACAAGTCGAAAGTGAAAACCTTTTCTGGCTTTTCTGTTTACCCCCTTACCTGGACTCCGGAACTCGTACTTCTCCGCATCCAGTTGCTTGTTTTCGCTGACGAGCGAAAGGAGCTTACTCAGAGGAACCCTGGCTCCCAATCGGGTCACAAAGAGCTGATCCTTTGGCAGCAGGACGGTGATGCGGAAGGTCTGCTCGAAGGGCGCATTGCTGGTGGCCGCGGGCACTGGGGTTATCCGGTTGTACTCCAGCTGACTAGTCTCGTTGATGTCCGTGTCCGTGGACAAATGGTGCAACTGTGTCGACGACTTGGACAGCTTGCCCATCGAGGAGCTGCCAGTGCCGGATTTGTCTGATGGATAAAAAGTGAGAATTCTTTACTTAATGAATAAAATAAAGGGGTTTTCACAAGTAACTCAAGCTACTTAAGAGGTTTAAAAAGAAATCCATTACAATTTTTTATACGCAAAATATATTGAATATTTTAATTTTAGGACAGATGAATGCTGAATAGCAGAACGTCTTCAAAAACAATTGGTATTAGAAACTAATTGTATTATTTATTAACTATTTGAACCGCAAACGTTCGTTCAGTAAATAATGAATACAGTTGCTATTAAACAATGAAATAGATAATAGAAAAGTATACCTAAGTAGCTATTGGAAGGGTTGGGTACTTTTAGTAGGGTTCATTAAAAGTTATTGCAGAAGACGTTGTAAAAGTTTTTATCTGACGTATTGATTACTTACCCTTTTTGCGGCCAAACCAGCGATTTAGTGTGGAGAAGCCGCCCTTCATGCTGCTCATGCTGTTGTGGGCGTGGCTTCCGAAATGTTTCCCTCTCTCTCTCTCTCACTCGTTCTCCGCTTCTTCTACCTGCACCAACTTCCGTTTCCGGTTTCGTTTTTAAACGTGTCTGAACTTGTGCAGTTCTGGTTTCGCCTTAAATTTTCGGTTGGGTTTCGTAATATTCCTAGAGCATGCTAGAAACTGGCATGCGATTTGTGCGCTGCGAAATCTGCAAGTGGAAAAAAAGGCAAGAAAACGAGTTAAAAGCGCCCCGATTACAAAAGACGCTCCGCTCCGTCTTATCAGCTTTCAGTTTTCAGGTTGATAAGGATGATGGTGAGCGGGGGGAGGGGGTACTGGCTGGGCATTCCTTTTGGTTCTTTATCATACACACCACCATATACACAAACATACGTGGTTTTTTTTGTCTCTAGTTACGTTCACATCCATAATACCCTCTCCCAAAGAAAAGAGCTTTCTTGGTCGCCCCCGAAAATATACGGCAATTTCGATTACTAAAGTATGTTTCAAAGTCGACTTGATGGATTTAGCTACGTATGTTACGTATGTATTTGCTTTATCAATTAATTTTGTATTTTCCGTTGCCTGCTATTTGCCTTTTGCGCCTGGCTTAGTGCTTAATTGTCGGCCAGGTTGTTTAATGGCTCACACCTACTACTACTACACACAAATACCCAAATACTCGTGAAGCAGCAAAGCGATAAGCCCAAGAAAATCGAAATCGTCGGCGGCAATGAGAAGCGCGCGACTTGCGGGCGTTTTATGTCGCGTGCGATTCATTTGCACACAATGCGGATCGCGAAGGCGACTTCATCACACATACATATTTACGTATGTATGTGCATTATAGGCAAGATAGGAAAAAGAAGGGGGCGGTGGATGGCAGGGGGCGTGGCTCTGTTTACTCAGTAGTAAATTCTAATGACATAGTTAGGTGGTGCAGCGGTGTGAGTGTACGACCATGCAAATTACGGGCAATTGTTGCAGCACCAACTTGTTCTATTGTTTGTACACAGAAAAAAAATTTAAAGAAATATCCTCAAGTGCACGTGAATATATACTAACATACATACTAACTATCGATAATCAAAATCAAAAGTAAATATTTTTTTAAATTATTCTCTCGCCTTATTTTAATGCATTATACATTTTCTGTTGAATACATGATACAATTACAAGTTTTGAGCAAACGTTTACTTATTGTAATACTTAAATAAAAAAATTAACAAAAAGCTTGACAAAAATACTAAATTATTAAATGTATTGTTACTAATCATAATTTTTTTTCTGTGCTACCGACGCACGAACATATATACAATTTAATTAAGCGTACAGCGCATTACAAATCAGTAAGGTTAATCGCAAGTAATTCCCACAGGAAGTGCATGGTTTCCCTTAATTTAGAAATCAATTCAGTAAATAACCTTTTGAACGACAAATAAGACAGATTTAATGACACTAAATGACAATAATTTAATTCAGAATGAACTCGAACAACTTGATGGTGATGATTGATTAAAAAAAGTAAGCTTTTCAGATTTTCGTATACTGGCAATGTTTTACCAGCTTTAAAGTAAGATTGTAATTAAGTCTTTATTTGAGCCAACATATCCGCTAAACCGCAATGGAATTACGCTTATTAAGCGTGCTGTATGTTTTTTCGTGATTGCCTGTGGCCAATCGATTTGTGTTTACTTTTTAATGAGCAGCCCCGACTAATTAGACGAACTATTAGGCAGCCTAATTAGATATAAAACTCGACATGAAGTCGTCACGTCCATCCCCATGGATTCGCCAAAAAGAGTCAATACCCCATAGGGTTTTGAGATCAACATGGTACTCTTCATAAAAACCTTTTAATTCGATTGAGTGCCTCCCATTTCTCGCTCATCCAATATGCAATAAACATACCTATATTAAAGGTAATCATTCATTTAAGCGGTCGTTATGTTTTCATTGATCCCATTTGTCTATCCAATGGGTATTTCCCAGTCGGTTTACCAAACTCTTCTAACCTGTTTCGGGTTATCAATACCGCATTGTTTTTGTTTTCGTTTTGGCCCAAAGGCTTTTATAGTCAGTCACTAAAGTTCCCCTTGAAATAAACATGAGTAAGTCGAAATTCCTCAGCTATCATGAGGCGACGATGAAAAATGTTTTTTATTTTGGTTTTCGCCTTAAATCATCACGTTCCGTAAACATGGCTAGTGTGGTTGTGCTGTGTGTGGTGTTGCCAAAAAATAATGAGCTTGGCTAATAGCGTTAAGTGTTTGGGGGCCTTTGTGAACCGGCTAATTGAAATAAAAATTAAATTGCCCTCGGATGGTCTGTGAACTTTATACTTTGCCTATCGCCATTATACGGTTGGGATATACGCATTTCGCATTTCGCATTTCTTACCGCAAATAACTTTATAAGTGCGCTCAAATTTATGACCATATATAAGCTCTCGATTATCTATATATATGGCCTACTATATGGCGCATAGCTTTCAAATGTCGATGAATCAGAGCCAACTGTGAAATGCAGCTGAACAATCAGACGTAATTAAACTATTTGCTTTGGCACATTGAAACTGGAGATGGTTAAGTAATCCTCTATCGATTTTCCCTTCTCACACGAGTGATACAACGTGCAGTACAACGTGGAATACGAATGATTCGGAGCGATACCCACTTCCCAGAGCTTATCAATTCGATCGCCCCGAAACAAGGTCTTTAAAACTTGGCGAAATCAGATCGCCACTTATCGTTGTGTGAACTTGATTGATCAGCAACATTGAGGACTCACGAGTTAGCTATATCTTTGACTTTGAAAATGTGAATCTCAAGGGAAGGGCTCTTACATTAGTATAGTATAACTTTTCAAAATAAATGAATATAAGAATTAGACCCACTCGGTTTCAAGGGATTTCTGCTTATGACAGTTATTATCTGTCACCAAAGGTTTTCCCAAATAAACGGCACACTAATTCTAATACCTAAAGACACATCATCACTTATGTCAATTAGCTAGAAATAGTTACGATTTTATTATACCTGTTATTATTTATGGTTCGGAATATATCAATAACTTTAGTTAAGATTCTGAATAGAACCCATTAAAGCCCTCCTCATTTGGATCTTTATGGTTCTGCAACAGGGTGTTTGGGTTAGATAACCCTGACAGAGACTAAGACTCCCATAATCGAATGCTAATTTCAGGGCTATAATGTCTTCAGCCATTTGGAGAAGTATCACCGTTATGTGTACACTTAAAATTGGCAACTTTCTACCGTTACACATGTGCCTAAATAAATGTAGGCATTATTATTTTTGGGGGGGCTGAAGTACCGCTCCATGTTTAAATAAGGCGAATCAGAAGTGCAAATAGAAGATGATTAATGGCCTGTGGCTCTGTGGCTTCGGATGTGATTATTGAAAAATGCCGGAATGTCGGGGGATCGCTCCATCATGGACTTAAATATATACATATGTAGATGTTTCGTTTTTTGCAGCTCAATTGGATGACACTGACATTGAAGTTCGGCATTGCATTCAGTGATTCGACTTGATGTTGCTCCAAAGTTAGACGATGATATCATGGTGGATAACCGACGTGAGGGAATTTTTTATTGGTGCCTGTGCTCATCATTGTTTCTCGATAATCATCACCCATTCAACTAGACGGCTATGCAAATTTTCTTTGGACTGGTAGATTGGTAGACTGGTAAGTCGATATAGCCAGAAACACCTGTGGAATGACTTTCTCGAGTCACCGTGTTGCCTGTTTTGCAACAACTTTATCTGTTCTTTTTTTCTGTTTCTGTTTCAGCTTAAATTTGTATTTGTATTTGGTTTGTTATGAGTTATCAGCCGAGTGATACGCATGACTAATACCGAATATGCTAAGTCGTAGTCTTCGTCGTTATGTCGCCGCTGTCACTTGCGGGCCATTATCTATTTCAATTTGTGCGGCAATTTGAGCCACTTGATTAGGCCGCTTCGCTCTGCAATGTCCGATCCTCGGGTTCACCAGTATATACTACATGCCATATAATATATATATATATACATATATATAGGTGCTTGTGCCCCATATGAGTGCCAGTTATCACGTACCGCTGCTAAATTCTAATGGCTCAGAAGATGGCACCTGTACGTTTGACATTCGATTGGGAGATCCAATGGTACTTTGCACCCTTCAATGTCTCGGGTTGTGACGTGTGTAGTTTTTTTTTAGAAACCATATAAGCCCATTCAAACGATTAATATGCATACATACATGGGTAATATGGAGGTTGGTTGTACTCGTTGTACTCAAAGAGTTCAAAAAATTCACCAAGGATAGAAAGCAATGAAAGATTAAGTTTAATATATCTACAGAACCAGTCCCTTTACTTACAAAAATAAGATTACCTATTTCTCTGTAATCGAACTAAGTAAAATATTAATTTATTAATTATCTTTATGTTATTATTCCAAACAAAAGAAACAATTTTAGTTTTTAAGCCTTTCTTCTCTTTTTCAAAGTCCAAAAGTAAAGAAATTAGGGAGCAAAGCTAAATAATCAATTAAATAATAACCATAAAGAACAATACAATAAAAAGAATTGATGGCATAATATATTCGAAAGAAGATACCAAAAAAGAAATGGTAAGGTAAAGAATTGAGAGTCCATAGTAGGCAACGGTACCGGGTTGAAATATGTTTAAATATGACGAAACCGCAAAGAAGTGAGGTAGTAAAAATCGATATGCGGACAATTTTACACAATATTAGCCACGTTCTTGCGCTTATTACCCGCAGGCTAAAAGCACAACTTCCTTGGCTAATTGAAAACAAATCGCCCGACGCTTGGCTAATAGCAAGTTTTCCGTTAATTTCACACAGATAACAATATAACAACTGCATCTGTGACTACTGTTTCGTTTGTGGCAAACAATTACAGCTGTGGTCAAAATTCTAGTGGTGGAACAATCTCAAGTTATTAAAAAACGTGATTTTGAAGCTTACATGAAAATATGCAAACAAATTATTTTTTTTGGAAAAATGTTTAAACTTTTTTATAGAAGAATTTGTATAAATTTCTTATTTAAAGTTTATTTACGAAAGTTCATGCTTGAAATTTTCCAAATGTAACTGTATTTTTTTTACTATGATTTTGCACACAGCTGTCTATATGGCATATGTATATATAGTTATTTCCACGGATGGGTTAGGATCCCGA